TGTACTCGTTTGGTGGCTTTCCGCTGAGCCCGCTCAATGGCGTTAATATCCCTCCTAAGCAGCGGAGGGCACGCCTGGATGTTGATCTCCAGGTGTGGCCGAATGAGCGTAGCAAAAATCTTGGGGAAAGACTCTGGTGTGAATTTCTTTAGGGGTCTGATTAATTGATTGAGTTTGAACATTGCCTTGCGGGCCAGCGTGCTGCAGTTAGTTTTTTGGGACAGGTCATCAGTAATGACTGTGCCCAGATCCCTTTCTTGCCTGACCCTCTGCAATGTTCTACCTCCTAGCGAGTAATCGTTAGCACATTGCCCTGCAATATGCATAACCTTGCATTTTTCAAGGTTGAAAGACAACCCATTGGCGACCGACCAGGTGTACCTAGTGCACTCTCGGACATGTTGCTGTTGGGCCCTCGAGTGCATCCATTCTAAGAATGGACTCTTCAGTGTTCCTGTCGGTGCCCGCTCAATCTCCCAATCTATTTTTGGAAAATTGAAATCTCCAAATACAAGAACTCCTTGTGACTATCTGTATAAGCTATCTAGGGTGCCTAGGAGTGTCTGGTTCTCCTCGAGTGTGTATTCCGGACTTCTGTAGACTTCTGCTATGATAACCCTCCTCGAAGGTAGAACCAGCGAAATTGAGCACAGCTGGACATTTCGGGTGCACTGCGTTATTTTGCCTTCATGGTGAGGTATATCTTATCTGACTAGGACAGCTACTCCACCAGCCCTACAGTGAAGCCCCTTTCCTGTCCTGTCTGTGGACTGTGAACGGGCTGAAGACTGGTTTGGGTATGTGGTCGTCTTGCGTAAGCCACGTTTCAAACAATTCAGTTCAATTCAGTTCAGTTTGTATCCAGGACCGTAACGGCAACTGCCAGAGTGTCCAGGTTCTTGCACTGATCAGCTCCTTGGATCCCACGGTGCTCCGACAATAGGAGAAACAAAATTCCCCTTTTGTTGGAATAGGGTATGCAGACTCGGACGTCCCGACCTGCAGACACTAATTCCACTTCGTGCGTGCAGGAGCATCGTGTGATTGAATGTGGTAAAAAGAGGGCCCCGGCTAGCGAACGAATCAAGAATGGGACCCATCAAACCAGACACGCAGACGTAGCGGCTGGAAGTACTTCGAGGGACAATGTTGGCTGCCACTCGAAACAAACCGACAATTACAGCCCAACAGGCGATCCGCAGCTAGCCAGAAAGATATACACCGAATGCCACTACGTCGGAGCTGCCGATCAACATATCTCCCGCTATGATCGGATCAAACCAGCCGGCGCGAAACGCGGAAAAAGAGGCAACGTACGTGCCAAGTGCAGATCAAAACCAGCAGGGATTGGCCAAAAGAAAAAGGCATGAATCATCCTGCCGCGCGGTTAGCAATTGAATGTACATTTATAATGTATATATGTATATAATGGGATGCGTACACCGGTTGTATTTGGGATTGGATCAATAAACGTTTTCCCAGCCAGCTTGTCTTCTCATTGCAGTAGTGCCGTCGCTCAAGGCAGCTCAACGCAATGGAGGTATCTTGGCCAAATGCGTTTTCAGAAGGAGATTTGGAGAAGTGGATTCGCGATTTTGAACTAATCGCATCATGCAACGGCATCAGAAGCAGTGCGCATATGGTCACCGTGTTGGATGAACTGCCTTCTGGACGAGCGAGAGCTCCTAACGATTTGAATTTGGGGAGCAACCAAGCCCTGGATTATGAGAATTTGAAAGCTGCATTGGTGGCAGAGTTTCAAGGGAAGGAGTCCGCGAAAAGGCAATGAACCGGTTCTACGCTGCGGAGTACAACCAGACTGAAGACCCGCTGGTGCACTACTAACAGATAAAGCGACAAATTTCCCTCGGCCTGACGGACACGAACAATTAAACAAGAGAGGGGCTTGCCTAATACCGATTCACACTAAGCGTGCCGGCAAGGGCGAGAAACAAGCTGAGGCTTGCGGTGGCGTGCGGGGTGATTGATGCAGACGCCCTAATTTCGGTTGTATAAGCCTGTCAAAAAGATGACGTGTTTGCTCGATTGGATCCTGCCAAAACAGAAGATAAGATTGAACAAATATTTGAAGTGAGAAGACTGAAGGAGGAACTCAAGGGCGGAACACAAGAAAGAAGACGTTTCAGGGCTGAATTTCGACCAAAGCGGTTTTTTAGTTGCCCGTTTTTGTCCAAACCACTACATTCGTTCGTGTTTTTCTCTTTGTAATCCGACTGCCCGTGGGGTTCAGAGGCTCGAGGTTTTCATTTTGTGACGGTTAAAGTTGGCTGTTATTGATACGGGTGCCGGGATTTCCATTATGCCTCGGGTAGAAGGGGTTCCGGTGAAACCGTGCAGTGTGAGCGCACGTGCGGTTGGGGTTATGCCACTAAGAGTCTTGAGTAAATAATGTTTCAATGTGCAGATTGGCGGGGTGACCGTTACCAATGAGTTGTTCTTGCTGGAAGATGTAAGCGAGCCTATTATCGATGTCGATATGCTCAGGCGCGTGGGTGCGAAGATTGATTTCGTGGGAGGTAAATTGCTCGTGGGATCACAAGCACATGAATTCAACTGAGGAAAACAAACACATTCTCTCTTCAGCGTTGTGGGGAAATCCGCCGTTCAAGAGTGTTTGATTTCATGTGTTAAGCAATGCGTTGTGAAGTATTCTGAATTGTTTCCTAATACGGACAACGAGTATGCATTTTGTGATTTTTGTGAACCATAAAAATCGATATGGACACATCATTTGAGTCATGCTGTACACGAACGTGACAGGTTACCACGACGAGGATTTGTTGACCTGTATAAGTTCGTAACGTTACAAAGGTAGCATTTAAATGATGACCCATGTCACAGTAACCTATCAGCTGAGTGCCTTCACTACGATCCCGCTCGGTGGCTAAGTCAGTCGGCTACACTCGAATCAAATACTCCCAAACACCATCGAGTCGACGTTTGAAGCTCACACCCAACGCGACTTTATCACCTCCTCGGGAGTTTCTTCCAATCGTGTAACACTTTCTGTAAATACCTGTGCTCGGAGTCTGGTCCTGAAACGGTTCTGTTTTAACTTGGGGCTGTGACTTCTCAAGTTTTGATGTTCACTAAGTGGCAGTAGCGGTTGCCCGTTTAACTTGATGAGGCCTTTCAAGATTTTGAAAGCTTCAATGAACCCCGTCTTCTTCTCCTTCATTAAAGAGAGAAGAGATTCGACTGATGCAGTCTTTCGTTAAATGCCCTCCCCCTTAGTTCATGAAACCACCTAGTGAACTGCCTGTGGACCTAATCTAGCACCTTTATGACCCTGACTAGGTAGGGTCACCTGGCCTGCACACAATATACTAACTACGGCCGGATAAATGCTTTGCAAAGTGGGAGTAGTAGCTCCGGTTATCTCCGGCTCAGTTCTCGAAGCAGCTGATGAAGAGCCCTTGATGCTGATTGGGCAGCCTTTTCACACTGCGCTCGAGGCTGGAAGTCTGATTAGATTGTCACTCCAAGATCTTTGGTGGCGGCCCTTGTTCCTACAGCTGTAGCACCGCTTCCCATCCCTAGATTCCGCACAGTGTGCATGGTGTCTGCAGCCCTTAGGTGGACGCACGTTGAGTGGTAAGTCCCACTCGGTTGCCCATTGCTTGACCCTATCCAAGTTGTTTGCACCGATGCGTCAACCGGGTCAACGAATTTTACGTCATCAGCGAACTTAAAGCATGGATTTCCCAAGTTCTGATTGATGTCATATACGTAGAGTAGAAATAGTAGGGGCCCAAGTACTGACCCTTGAGGTACCCTAATATGCATTTGTCCTTCCCCTGACACTTCCTCCTATACTCCGACCCTGAATATCCTTCTAGGCAGGCTTGCCCTGTTCCACTCCACAATTTGGTTTGATAAGCCGAACCACTGGAGCTTGGATAACAATAATCGATGGTTTACTGAATCAAAGGCCTTCAGGGAAACCTAAGTAGGTTGCCCGGACCTCCCTCCCCCTCCGTTCTAGAATCCTTGTCATTTTCTCCAGGTAGCATAGTAGGTTCGATAAGCAAGACCTCTTACGCGCGAACCCATACTGCGATCCGGCAACCACTCCGTGCCCTTGAAGTTCGTGGAAAGAGAAGTTTCTGTTCAGTTCAGTTCAGTTTGCACAGGACAGTAGTGGTTGTGACCAATCGTGCGCCCAGATCATTTTGTTGTCAACTAGTCTCCTTGGCTTCCAACACTGCTCGTCAAAGGTTCGTTCTGCTTTATCTGAAAGGCAGAATATTTAAGTGCAGTATCTCATCCACCAGATATGTTGAAATGAAATACATTAATATAGGAACGACTCACCTTTTTCCGTTATCGTCCCTCAAATGGCCAGCTCCGGGATTATCACATCCCAGCACAAATCCAAGGCCTTTTTGAAGGCTACAACTGTTGAGCTGCTTACAACATTTTCCGGCAATCTGTTCCACAAGGGTACCACCGCTTTTGTGAAGAACCTTGCCCTAAGCTCCAACTTGGAGTGCTCTCTTTGCAGCTTAAGTCTATGACCTCTAGTGCCGCATTCTGGTGCAGAAACGAAGAGGCTGCTTAGTTCTATGCCCGACAACCCCTTAACTATCCTGAAGGCTTCTATCAAGTCGACCGTGGTCCTTCGGCGTGACAGCGAGAAGAGATTCAGGTCCTTCATATGCTGCGAGTAGCTCTTTCCTGTCTGTCCAGTGACCATTCTGGTTGTCAGTTGTTGTACCCTCTCTAGGCACTCCATATCTTTGCGACAGTATAGGGTCCAAGCTTGAACGCAGTATTCCAGCAGTGGGCGCACCATTGCCTTATACAGCGCAACGAAACATTCTGGCTTCCTGCATGTAAATGTGGTCCGCAGCCTGAGAAGTACTCCTCTTGCTTTATTTGCAGCCACATGAAGTCCTTTGTAACAATTATTCCTAGGTCCTTTACCTCGGTTGTGCCACGAAGTGCTGCGTCCACGGTTGAGTCTACATTGTTCGTCGGTAGCTGACACTTGGCAAGATGCAGGGGTAAATCCCGTCGAGCCGACCAGCTGCGAACTGCGTCTTGGTCTTGGGTTAAGTTCTCGCCCGCTATCTTCACATCATCAGCAAAGATGAAGCAGGGGTTGTGCAATTCTAGCGTGGGATCGTTGATGAATAGAATGAAAAGATGGGGCTCAAGAACAGAGCCTTGGGCACCCCGCTTGTAACCCTCTCTGATCTCGACGTGTAGCTACCAACCCGTACAGTGAAGCTGCGGTTATTAAGAAAATGTTTCAGCTACTGACGCGCCGACTCGACTATTCCAAAATTTGGTAGCTTCGTGTCCAGCAACGTGAGACTCACCGAGTAAAAAGCCTTACTGAACTCTAAGTAAAATACCTCCACTGTCCTACCCTGATCTAATCGACGTGTATTCTCGTCGAGAAACATAAGTAGATTAGTTAGGCACGACTTATTCTTGGTAAACCCGTGCTGTGCAGGGGATAGAAGTCCATGGGTCACCAGGCGCGCAAAAATTTGTTTTCTGACTATACGTTCGAGGCATTTAGACAGCACCGACGTTAAACTAACCAGCCTGTAGTTTTCCACCTTCTGTCTAGACCCCGTCTTGCATATTGCTACCACGGTTGCCTTCAGCCAGTCCTCTGGCACTACCCCGGAGGTCAGTGAGGCCTTAAACAAATCAGTGACAGGTC